AACTCATTTTAAATACCTATCATAATTAAAATTGCAAAACAAATCCTATTTAAAAAAAATAAGAATGCAACAAATAGTTCTAACTTTATCTTCTTTTGTCATGAAAGCTTAGGCTTTGGTCAGTAGAGTTTGTAAACCAACAAACTGCGTTAAAAACAAAGGATATGTACATTTTTTGGCTTTTGTAATGCCTCATGCAATTTCTTGACAAATTAGCGTTGGCACCATTTCAACATATTACTATATAGCTGGAATTTTAAATTGGTGCACTCTTTGTACAATATTATTAAATGCAGTACCCAAAAATATCTCACCCTAACTTGTGCTATGAACGAATTTTAGAGGCAAAAAACAGAGACAAATTCAGAACTCGTCGGAATCTGAAAACTTTAAGATATCCCGTACTAATATGGTCTGATATAGCAATGTATAAAAGTGCACTCCTCCCCTTTCATTTTGTCTTAGTCTGCTCTTTTACAGTAAGTGCATTCCTCTTCGATGTGCAGGTTCCCAGACATTGAAGGATCAAAGGAAGACCGATGTGAACTTAACTAGAACTCCTTATGGGAGAGTTTTCATTTAATAGAGGTCAGCATTTAAAAACTTCTAGATCCTCTTGAAATGAGGATTTTCTTGGTTTTTGTTTGATGTTGAATTTAATTGTTGTTTTGTAGGAGAATAATTCATACCTTGAGTTTTTGTTGAAATGGTTGTTGCTCGGGGACCCAGTGTAGGGTAAATACATCATGTGTCGCGATTGACTTCTTTCATGGTCATGTCTTTCTTGCCAGAGAGTCTGGAAGGCTTGGGATTTTGTAAGTTGACATGAACCCTTACTGTTCTCGTTGCACACCATGAGACAAATGATGCTTCTGTTGTGAGTGTTCCACAAAGGCAGACCCTAAGAACTCTTCAATTGTAAAACGGCCTTGCAAATAAAAGTTGTTTTGCACTTATTGATTAGCTAATCGGATATATGGAAGATGTTCTTCTTTAAATGTTTCTTTTTACTTCTTCTGCTGGTAAATAATGAAGTGAACTAGGATTAGAGAAAACTGGACAAGATGCCATTAACCTATTGAAGAATATGATGGATGCTCGTCTAACTTGATTCGTGATTGCATCTCTATAGCCTGAAGCCCTGAACTCTTCAATCCATCTTATAAGCAGCAGGGAGATAATGAACATCAGATTAGTAAAACTCAAATCTAGTGCTAAAAGCAAGATAAAAAAGGCAATATGATCGAGTATCTGTGGTTGTTGCGTCAATATGTAATTCAACCAAATTGTCGTATTTTCTTGAATATATTTAACTTGTGTTACTTGCAGTATGATTCTAAGGAGAATAGGCATAACACATCTGATTCAACTTGAAATGACTAACCTGTTCAAGACTCGAAACTGTATTATACTGCTTTTGCTATGGCCTATAGTTTCGAATGGTAGATCTTCCATGTCATTTGATACTGCATGTCTTGACATAAAACATCATTTGTAAACATATTAATTTCCTTTCCAGTTGTAGGAATGAGTAAATGCAGTAGTAAGGCTATCATCTAGCCATTTGTGTTTTTCAGTAAGCTAATAATGTAATAAGATGGATAAAAATTCTTTATTAAAGTGAAGCCTGTTGATCAGTATCCATGAGAGAGTATGTGTGGTACTTTATTTAAATGGATTTCTTCTTTGTTTAACTTAAGTATGTTATGCAGTTGATCCTTTTCAAAAAAGAGTATGTTATGCAGTTGATCTTCGTTTGCATACTTTCAGAGAAATGGAGCTTTTCTGCTCTCCGCAATCTTCTGATGTCCACGAAGGACTTAGGTGATGAATGAAGGGTTTCTTGGTTTATGATTTGGGTTGCTTTATGGTGTTGCTGTTGTGGTAGCAATATGGAGTGCACTATATTCTAGCAGGAGAACTGCGCTAGGTTTTAGATAAAGGCAAAAGAGCATGAGTGGTATTCATTCATGCATCATTATAACTTCTACTTAATTTGAGATCCAGATTGTAAGATGGGAATCTGTTAGGCTTTTAGTTGTAAAAGTAGAATTTTCAATTCATTCTCCAGATTGCTTTAGGAGTTGGACTAAGGTAATTTGGGGGATGGAGGGGCTTCACTTATTTTTAGCAGCTTCTCTAATTTTGGCTCTTATGGAGAACCTTCATACCACTAGACTTATGCCATTAATGAGTGTAATTTTTGATGAATTTACAATACGAAAGAAATGCTTTTATAGTTATCAGTAAGTTTAATTGCTCTTCTCCGTTTTCGAGGAAAACCTATTTATCATAAAGGAAGAGGAAAGTATTTGAATCCTTGAACCTAAGAGTATTTATCGATTCTCTATGTTTAATTAAATATGACATGGGAGAGGCCTTTGTTTGTTAGCTTAGTAGGGAGTAAGAGAAGGTAAGGGAATCTTAAATTCCTTTTAATCTTGTAATTCCGAAAACACGAAATCAGTGGAAATGTTTTAACACGTACTCATTTTATGTTCTAAACCGTCATCAACCACTCATACCCATGGATACAGTTGTTTCTTTTTTTTTCTGTGTTTTGTTGACTGGAATTTCTGAATGCTGCTTTTCCATACGAAACTAAGTTTTTTTTTTTCCTTTTTATTGTTTCTATATCTGGTTTCTTTTCTTGTTTGTGTGAGAATGCTCATGATTTCACACTGCAAAACTTTTCCAGGTTCCATGCTAAGGAGTATCCAGCATATGATAAGAAATCTTCCCTTACAAACATGGGCTTACTGCCAAATAGGTTAGTCTGCAGCTTTGACCCACTTCCTTCAGAGATCAACTGATATGTTCTGAATTGAATTCTTCTCCAACTTTATTTACTATTTGCAGTTTTTGATCCATCATTGTTTCTAACCCTCCGAAGTTTTTGCATAATGAGATTTCAAAAATACAACAATGATTGCTCTTTATTCTCATTCTATTTAGATTTTTATTGTTCACAGGATCTAATGTCTCTTATGATGATTCGATGAATTTGCGGAACATATTGTGGCTAGCGCCATTAGCTAGCAACTCTACAAAAAGAATTGGTTAGCACCAGGTATGTTTCTTTGATAAAATAAAAAAAATGAGTTTTTTCCTACCCCATCCCCTGAAAAAGTGAAAAAAGCTAGAAGGATTCAGATTACTCGTCTAGTGGAAAGTTCCCCACTGTTGTGAAGTGTACTTTCGCATCTTTTGATTTGACTTTCTCTCAAAATATAAAATAAAATGATCAAATCTATTAGGATAATAATTAACATATCCTGATGATCTGCAAAGTGTGTATTATTCAACAACAACAAACAACAACAACTACCCAGTATAGTCCCACAAGGTGGTCTGGGGAGGGTAATACGAACACAGGCCTTACCCCTACCCGAAAGGGCAGATGAGGCTGTTTCCAATCGACCCTCGGCTCAGGAAAAGGAAAAGGAAAACAAAAACAAAAATAAAAAGCAAAAAAGCATTTAGTAACTCCAGCAGAAATCACATTAAATAATTATCTAAACATAAACCATAAATTAAAATGGCATGCAAATATATCGACCAGTAACCCCCATAAGGGGGGCACATACAATACACAGATCATCTATGGAGAACCCTATCAATCCCCCCCCCATTCCCCCCCCCCCCCCCCCCCCCCCCCCCCCCCCCCCCCCCCCCCACCCCCGGGACAAAGTACGAAAATTCTAGAAGCCCCCATCCTGCAACCCTGATACTAGACCTCCAGACTTTCCTATCAAGGGCCATGTCCTCGGAAATCCGCATTCTAGACATGTCCTGCCTAATCACCTCTCCCCAATACCTCTTGGGCCTCCCTCTGCCTCGACTCGCGCCAACCACCGCCAGCCGCTCACAACTCCTCACCGGGGCATCGGGGTTTCTCCTCCGCACATGCCCGTACCACCTGAGCCTCGCTTCCCGCATCTTCTCATCTACTGGGGCCACCCCTACCTTCTCCCGAATAACTTCATTCCTAATCCTATCTAACCTGGTGAGCCCGCACATCCACCTGAGCATCCTCATCTCCGCAACCTTCATTCTCTGGACATGGGAGTTCTTCACCGGCCAGCACTCGGCCCCATACAACATGGCAGGTCTAACCACAGCTCTATAAAACTTCCCCTTGAGTTTCTGTGGCACTTTCTTGTCACACAAGACTCCTGATGCAAGCCTCCATTTCGACCACCCCGCCCCTATACGGTGAGTGACATCCCCGTCGATCTCTCCGTCCCCTTGAATCACCGACCCAAGATATCTGAAACTGTCCCTCTTGGCGATGACCTGAGATCCAAGCTTGACGTCCCTGCCTACTTCGCTCGGCTCGGCGCTAAACTTGCACTCCAGGTACTCTGTCTTAGCCCTGCTTAGTTTGAAACCCTTGGACTCGAGAGTCTGCCTCCAGACCTCCAACCTCTCGTTACCACCGACCCTCGTCTCGTCTATCAGGACTATGTCATCAGCAAATAGCATACACCATGGCACATCCCCTTGAATATGGCGTGTTATAGCATCCATCACCAAAGCAAATAAGAGAGGGCTAAGTGCAGATCCTTGATGAAGCCCCATTACCACCGGGAAATGGATTGAGTCGCCACCCACCGTCCTAACCCTAGTCTTAGCTCCATCGTACATGTCCTTGATCACTCTGATGTAGGCTTCCGGCACGCTCTTCGCCTCCAGACACCTCCATAGCACCTCCCTTGGGACCTTGTCGTACGCCTTCTCCAAGTCGATAAACACCATGTGCAGGTCCTTCTTCTTATCCCTGAAGTGTTCCACCAATCTCCTGACAAGGTGGATAGCTTCTGTAGTGGAGCGGCCCGGCATGAAACCGAACTGGTTCACAGATATAGACGTCATCTCCCTCACCCTCGCCTCAACCACCCGCTCCCAGACTTTCATGGTGTGGCTTAGTAATTTGATACCCCTATAGTTGTTACAACACTGGATATCCCCTTTGTTCTTATACACGGGCACCACTGTACTCCACCTCCACTCCTTCGGCATCCTCTTAGTCCTGAAGATCACATTGAACAACCTGAACAGCCACTCTACTCCTGACCTACCTACCTACTGCATTTCTAGAACTCCACCGGGATTTCGTCTGGCCCGGTCGCCTCACCCCTACTCATCCTACGCAAAGCCCCCACGACCTCCTCCACCCTAATGCGCCTGCAGTACCCAAGGTCTCTATGACACTCTGAATTCCCCAACTCCCCTAGCTCTACGTCTCGATCCCCCTCCTCGTTAAGCAGGTCTCGAAAGTACGCCTGCCACCTCTGCTTGACTTGAGACTCCCCCATCAAAACTCTACCATCCTCGTCCTTGATGCACCTAACTTGGTCTAGATCCCGCGCCTTCCTCTCCCTCACTTTAGCCAACCTGAATAACTTCCTGTCCCCGCCTTTGTCCCCCAATTCCTCGTACATGCGACCAAACGCCACATTTTTTGCTTCCGTGACCGCCAGCTTCGCTTCCTTCCTCGCCACCTTGTAGTTCTCCCTGTTAACTCTCCTTTCTTCCTCGCTTGAGCTCCCTGCCAACTTAGCAAACGCCACCTTCTTCACCTCCACTTTTCCTTGGACTACATCGTTCCACCACCAGTCACCTTGATGTCTGCCAGAATAGCCCTTGGCTACCCCGAGCACATCCGGCGCTGCCTCCCTAACCAAGTTTGCCGTCACTGACCACATTGCGTCCGCTTCCCCAGAACTTCTCCAAGCTCCACCATCAGCTAACCTCCTCTCCAACTCCTGGGCTTTCTCCTTAGTCAAAGCTCCCCATCTAATCCGCGGCCTGCCCCGAGCACCCCTCCTCTTCCTCTTCACCCAGAGACCGACATCCATCACTAGGAGTCTATGAAGAGTCGAAAGGGACTCTCCCGGAATAACCTTACAGTCCTTGCACAACCCTCTATCGCTCCTTCTGAGGAGGAGGTAATCAATCTGAGTCCTCGCCGCCGAACTTTTGAAAGTAACCAAATGCTCCTCCCTCTTCTGAAATGACGAGTTCGCAATCAAATGCTCGAAAGCCCTGGCGAAATCAAGCAGCGAAGTGCCTCCTCCGTTCCTAACCCCAAGGCCAAAGCCACCATGCACCTCACCATAACCACCAGCATCAGCCCCAATATGACCATTAAAATCCCCTCCAATAACTAACTTCTCAGATTGGGGAATACTACTCACCAACTCGTCCAAGCCCTCCCAAAAGCGCCTCTTAACCTCCTCGTCTAAGCCTGCTTGCGGCGCGTAAGCGCTGACGACATTGAGGACGCAACCACCAATAACCAACTTAATAGACCTTAACCTATTGTTCACTCGCCTAACCTCCACCACGGACTCCCTAAGATCCCTATCCACCAAGATACCCACTCCATTCTTACCCCTCACGACCCCATAATACCACAGCTTAAACCCGTCTACATTCCTCGCCTTCGACCCTTTCCACCTAGTCTCCTGCACACAAGCTATGCTGACCCTCCTTTTCTGAAGAATCTTCGCCAACTCAATGGACTTACCCGTCAGGGTGCCTATGTTCCACGACCCGATCCTCAATCTATGAGCGCCCGCTATCCCCTTCCCACCAATGAGACTTAATTAGAAAGACTAAGGAAACAGTTTTCTCTCTCAGTGTCTAAATGGAAGGAATTAGCCGCATAAAATCCACATATCTGAAATCCAAATGTTATTTCCCCCAAGGGAAATTTAGATTGAAATAACAGTGTTGTAGAACAAGATTTATTTATATGATTGAATTTTTCCAAAAAAGAACAGTTTTCTCTTACAGATAACAAGGTCACAAGTTTCCTGCGACTTCTGATGGTTAAACTTCTTGTTGGCAGGAGTCCTAGTTGTCTTGGATGCACATCCAACTGGAGTCATATACAAGGACCTCATACCTGAGTACGTACACATTGCCAGGACCCTCTATGAAGGTTCGAATTTTATTTATCCCCGAATCAAAAATTCTATTAACCTCGTCATGAAAATTTTGACAACAATTAATACAATCTTTTGCTGTCCACAGATGATTTTGGGCAAGTTGCCTTTGATGTTAACTACCTAAACATTGGAGGTGAAACACCCAAATACCAAATTTTCATTTGCTGACCTCTTCTGAAGGTTCAGGTGTCAGCTTTCAGTTTTACAAAGTGAGATCCATATTATTTGTAGGTATTGCTTATCAATGTCATCTTATAGAATTTCCCTGCCTTAATCGAAATGCATCTCTGAAGTGTTTACTATTTATGCAGCATTACTATCAATATTTGATTCTAGCGCATTCAAATGGAGGGTTGCTTGGAAAAGGACTGTGACTGACGAAGATTTTACTGTTGGAACTGAAAGTTTTGAGTCCTTTAGCTTGTGATTGGCCACTGTTTATGGCAGATTATCCTTTCTTGATTACTATCAAAGCTTGGACAACGAAACAATGAATGAATAACTAGAAAACGTCATCCTTCTAAAGGGCTTACACTTTACGTTGTCTCTTAGAAGTATTTTTTTCCTTAGCTTTTGTGTACTGATTTTATGCCTGTGGTTGTAAAGCCTTAAAGCTTGTTTGGATGGTCGTTACTTGTTACCTATTGTATTGTATCGTATTGTTACATAAATGCAATGTTTCTTTTGATTGTTACTTATATTTTATTGTATAGTATCGTTAAATTCGTCGTTAAGTAACAACTAAATGTACCACTTTATGGAACGATCGGTTTGGTTGGTTGCGTCGTTACCTTATTTTTTCCTCTCATCTTGCTCTTCCTTATTATTAAACTAGTTTTTCGGCACGTGCGTTGCACGTGTATACCGAATTATATAATATATAATTTTGTAAATAATATTAATATTATTAAAATAAAAGTTTGAGTAAATAATTATAAATAAGAAGATAAATTACAAGTTTCTATGAATTACCAATATAAATGGCGCATGATAACTTATTTATTGAGATTAAGATGGTTGGACATCGTCTACATTACCAAGCAATAGTTTTGTTTCTTCTTATTTGAAAAGGTAGCAACGGTTGGAAACAAAAAAAACTGGAAAATTTTAGTTATAAATTATTTTGAACATTAACAACTAATCTGAAAGATTTTATCCCTTCAAATAAATTTATTTTTTTCTCGGTATAAATTGGATATTTAGGTTATTAAGATTTTTTAATTTTTTCACATTGAGATTTCCACTTACACAATAATATAGAAATTGAAATAATTCTACTTAGCAAAAAGCAAAATATTACTAATTGTGTGCTTGAGTAATCCAAATAATCTGTTAGAAGAGTATAAAATAAATTTACATTAAATTTAATATTTTATAACTAAATATGCATCTGTCGCTTGTCAATTTATGTTAACAGAAACAATTTAGTGGATATTTGGAAAGAAAATAAAGAGAAGGTCATTGTATTTTATATCACCTAATAAATTGAAAGTAAAGTTCTAAATGATCTAATGCATGTATCTATATAATATCCCATATAGATTTCAGTTTAGCAATAGAACAACAAAGTTAAATTTAACATTAACTAATTCATTCCTAAACACAACAAACATTTATTGCAAGATCATAGAATAACTCTTCTACCCTAACGTTTACATCAGTTGTCTTTCATAAAAAAAACACAAAGGAAGAAATTAATAAATAAATAATAGGGTACCTGATTGTGTTGTCACTTTCTCTGTGATTCATACTCTAATTCTTTCTAAATTTTTATGTTCTCAGAATCTCTGACAGATGTTGTGAGTTATAGTGAAGATCTCTAGGAAGAAGAGGGAAGCACTACAATCAAAAGATTCGGACAAATAGTCACTTGAAAATTAATGTTGCAAAAGAGATAAAATAGCATATCAATGTTATTGCAGGTAAATTGAGTAGATGCTAAAGATATGAAGCTATTGTTAAAACATTGATTGGATGTACGCTTTTGACATTGCAATCTAATAAATACTTTTGCAGCATCAAGTAATAAAATGTATACGTTATTTTTCATCACAAATTTTAAGTCTTGAGCAGATGCAGAATCATAATTTGAACTTTATGACTTTTAAATTTTAGAATAAAGACATCAAGTTTATAAATTGAGTTCTGAATTTAAATTTTTATACACATTTAGTGAATTTCTTAATACAATTACGAAATTTACATTAAAGTTACGGGGCAACGAACTCAAACCATCACAGATATACCAAAACAATTATAAGAACACAAAGGAAATCGTTTATAGCAGTAAGTACTACAAATGAAATCGTCTCATGACATTACTAAGCATCCAAATTTTGGTTCAATGCATCTGAGCACCCCCTAAAGGCAGCGTAAAACAATAGATATTGATACCTGTTATACATAGTCCAGTTTGACTTCTCTTCCCTCCTCAATCTTCGTTGGCTGACTCACTATTGCGACATTCTTGTAAAAATATGTCACATTGTTAGGATAGAAATTATAGGACTTCTTAAACAACGACAACAACTTAGTTGCATCAGATGGCGATGCAATAAATCGAGCTCTACTTTTGTACTCATAATTTTTAATATTTTTTATGCTTGGTGATTTATAGAATTCAATTTTAACAAACTAATATTAAGATAAATGGTCGTAATCTCATAATATATTGTGTGAATATGTGGGTATGTACCCTAATTTCTTTCTCTGTCATATTTCTACTTGCTGAAGTAATTGATGTCCATGGCGAAGACAAGGATTCTTTGGACGTCATTGTGGAAAAGGCCTTGATACATGTATGGGATGAAGGGATATGAAGTGTTGGTTGGGAGCGTATGAAGCTTTAGTGTCTTTTGGTAGTTTTTTTTTTTTTTTTGTTTAATAATAATTAAATAAGATGATTAGTAAGAAGGGTAAAATGGTAATTCAACTTTTAGGTTTAGGGGTTCCCACTTTTAATATAGTATAGATAATCATATTTTATCCTCTACCCTACCTTTTTATATAATACTTCTGCCTCGTACCTTACTTTTTCTTTATAATATTGCAAGTTTATTTTTCATATTGTTGGTACGGCATCATGAAACGACTGCAACCAATACAATCTATTCAAACATTGTATACTTCAAAATGATATAATACAATACCATATTGTACGATACATTATGAAATGATATATGATAACCATCCAAACAAGCTGTTAGTTGTAGTGTTCAATTTATTAGGCTTCAGATTTGTCCGTAGGTTGTGGTGGAAGTTCCATTTATTTATTTATCTGTTTAACATCTGTTCTGGAAATTGCAAGTCTTGAAGCCGAAGACATTTTTCTCGAGGAAAAAAGAAAAAGCAATCCTGTAAATTATAGGTATCTCCCGTCTAGCAATAGCCAATAGGCATCTCCCCTCGATTTACAAAACCAAAACCTATCTATTTTTTTCTTACAAGTTGTATTACAGAGGGGATATAGCTTATTGAATATGATGTGTGTGTTTTCTAAGCGGTCATGGCTTTCCTTGACTTCGTTGTAATTCTTTTTACTAGACTAGAATTTGTTGCATGGATAAGATGGGAGGGATACTGGCATGGAAGAAAAGAAGTTGGAAAAAAATAATAAGAAAAATAACATAGAGAAATCAAGAAGATATAATTGCTTTTTACCTATAACAGCAACAATCATATTTATAGCAGAACGCTCTTTTGTAAAATTAAACCTCTATAAATCTGTAAGATTATTATAATAGTTTTAAAATGCACACAATCTTTTCCATTAAACAAAGTTTCTATCTTGCATAAGATATAAGATTTGAACGATTGCAAATGATATCTTTTTCATTGGACAAATTTTAAAAAATATTTAGATAGAAAATTTAACCGATAAGCTCTTAGATTGTCTTCAAGGGAAAGCTTTTGTTACTTTTTTGCTAAAAATTTAGACACGAACCTTCGTGAATTCAAGCGTTATATTGCTAGTAAGAGAATGAAATCTACGAAACAAGCTACAATTATAAAGTTCTTCCATCAATCTTGAAATAATTTATTTTTTTAGGTAGCTTAAAATGTCCGCCTTAGAGTTTAAATCTTTATACATTTAGTTATGAATTTATTAATAATGTATTAGCTTTCTTCATTATTTAATTAGTGAAATATGCATATCTTTTTGAGATTTTAATTTTTAATAATTTTCTTATCTTTTATATGTAACACTAAAAAGAAAAAATAATTAATTTTTATCTACAACACCCAAAAAGTATCTAAACGTCAATTTTCGTTATAGGCCTATAACAACCATTCACTATAAAAGCAAAAAAATATCGGCACAAACGAGGTTGTTATAGAGAGGCATTAACAACAACATACTAGTATAACCCCACATAGTAGGGTCTGGGGAGGGTAGTGTGTACGTAGACCTTACCCCTACCTTGTAGAGGTAGAGAGGTTGTTTCCAATAGACCTTCGGCTCAGGAAAGCATAAGAACTACAATAATAAAAAGAAAAACAAGAAGGGACAATACCGAGAAGCCATGTAAAAGCAGCATAAATAACAAGATAGTAAGATGATCGAAAAGCAAAAAACGACAGGTAGTCAAAGAAACCTAATACCAACCAAATGCGAGAGTACGTACTAATACTACCGATATGAATAATCTAGACTACCTAACTGATAGCTGCCAACTCCGCACCACTAAAAGGTAGCGAGAGAGGGTCGCAATAGCTTTTACCCGATTTTGGGTCGGGATCGAATCCACAGAGAGCTAGGATTGGAGTCGAGTATCTATCTAGCTTAGGATTGCGTGTGTGGTCTTCTCATAATTTTTGGGGTTTTCTTTATATTCTACTATTATCAACTACCAATTGGAAACACAACTATATTAAGCTAAGAGTAAATTGCTACAAGTTGTATCTAATAGTTTAAAGGGCACTAGGGTAGTGACCTTTACCTAGGTGGCTAATTGACGGGTAATTGCATTTAAGGCACGATTGACATGATTGGGGAAATATGTTATAACCGTTACTCAATACTACCCACTCTACACCTCTCGGTAGAAAGAGTGGTTTTATCCAATTGACTCTCTCGAGATCAATTGGGTATGCATATATGCCCGAGCAACTAGGGTTCAAGTCGGGTAATTACTCTCTCGAGGTTTAACCCTTTAATTGGGACTATCAAATCTCTGGAGTCCATCCTAATTCCTTATTGAATCAATTTTGGAGACTTAAGGCTCTCTTTCTCAAGAAGAGCCCAAGTCTACTAAGCACAAACTAGTGTTTGCAACAACTAATTCATAAATTAAACCATAAAATTGACCCAAATAACAAATACCCATAATCAATCTAACCTTAAATTACAACACCCATCAATTACCCACACTAAGGTTGAGCCACAACCCTAGCTAATGGGTCTAGCTACTCATGCTTGAAGAGAAAATCAAAGAAATAGTCGAAGAGAAAGACATAATATTAAATTACTGAAATGAAGATAAAGATTCAATTGCTAAAACTATGTTAAAGTGCCCAAAATGGCTACAAAATAGCTTCGCACGAACGCAGCTGATGTCTGATAATAACCGATTCCCTAAAAATGGAAAAAGGTTCTATTTATACTAAGCTGGAAAAACTGGACAAAAACGCCCCTGCGTGGTCAGTGCGGGCCGCACAAAATGGACTGCGGCCGCACTAGGCTTGGTCTTGAAGTCTT